TTGTTGTTGATAGGGTGTCTGGGGTAGTAGTAGTTGTTGTTGTTGTTGTTGATAGGGTGTCTGGACAGGTAGAATGGGCTGGGGAGGAACTGGCTGGCCTCAAACCTTGTAATCTTGTGTTGCCTTAAACATAAACACCGGAATTACAGACTGGATGTTGTGAGATGACACTTCCTTTTTTATTAAAGAGAAATGGCTAAAGATCATGGCAGGACAAACAGCTTTACTTCTTTCACCTTGTGGTGGAAGAGAAATTCCTCTTACTTTAGTGGGATTTTACACAGGCATTTCATGTTTCCACCATGGGGAGAATAAAATAATATTTATTTCCCCCTGTCGGCTTTGACCCTTTGGAGCATTGGCTGTTGCTTCCAGACGCTTTTCTTCTCACCTTCAAACATCTTTGCTAAACGCACACATTTCCGCAGCTGTCAAAAACCTACAGGGACTTTTTTCTTTTCTTTTGGAAAGCACTTCTTGGCAATAAAAGCAAGCCGTCCAAACCTGGATGGGACAGTGTGGGGGGGGCAGCTTGAAGCTAAGCGGCCGTCTTTCTTTACGTAGTCCAGTTCATTTTGTGTGATCATCTCTGCTGATACCTGGGCCCGTGTACCTGTCCGCCAGCTGGCTGACGCAACGGGGCCTGGTGGTCCATCCCCAGCAGGGGCAATTCATAGTCTGTTCCCATGGTAACCGTTGCCAGCTGTAGCCTTCTGGAGGGGAGATTTGTCTGTCTCCACGGCAACTGTCGAGTTACTAAGGAAGGGAATCTCCTCTCTTTGGCAATTGTTACCGAAGGGGAGTTTCCCATTATCTCCGCAGCCATAAATGTTCCTAGGAACGCTGACTCGGCAACATAAATAGTGACACATCCAGCCGGAAGATTTCCTGTTGTTCTCTTTTCTCATCTCCCTCCCCTTCCAAACATCTGTGATAGTGGTGGCTAAAACTCTATTGCCAGTCAGGCATCAAATAAGGGCCTAAAGGCCCACTTCCGGCATCTTTCCACTTTGGAGGAAGGCTTGCCTCAAGGCAGTTGAGTACAGGAGATGGTGTAAGGATATGTGCCTAAAGGCCCACTTCCGGCATCTTTCCAGTCTGGAGGAAGGCTTGCCTCAAGGCAGTTGAACACAGGAGATGGTGTAAGGATATGTTTGTTGTGTGCAGCAAGAGCCTTTTCTCCACTGAATCTGACCCTTTTCATTCCTGTATGTGCTGCCACAGCTTGGCCACATAACGTGTTTTGTATTATTCTTATTTTTTTGTTTATTTTTAAGATACTGAATGCACTTGAACACTAACCCACCCAACCCACAAGCTGAGGAATCAGGGATCCCAAGAGCCTATGGGCAGATGGAACTCAGGCAAGCCTCCCCCATTTCAAAGGGTTGGGAGTGAGCTGGATTCAGCTGCAGTCAATTTATAAGTCAGTGACTTACAAGAGGGTAGGGAAAAGTTGTTTTTTGGACTACATCTCCCAGAATCCCCCCAGCTAACAAGGCCACTAGCACTGCTATCTGAAGGACTGTGGGAACTGTAGTCCAGAGCAGTCACCTTTCCATGCTTTTCTGGCGTAGGTCCTGTTTTTCACTCTGCTTTGCTCTTCTGCTGTATGTTACATCAGAAATGCACGAAAAACACGTACAGTATGCAGTTTAAAAACAAGAAGTTAAAAACTGCCTTTAAATGCTGTCCCCTTAAATAGAGGCCATCCTCTTTATTCTCTTATTCTCCCTCTCTTTATGTGGTCTAGGGGAAGCCCTGGGTGCTTAAAGTCCTGCTAGGAAATTGCCCTGTTAACACACCTATTTTGTTGCCAACACCTGTACAAATCACAGGTCAAGGTTCAGCTGAAGCACTTCCCTGCTCTGCAGGGAGAAATTATGCCGCACCACATGTACCAAAGACGATCTGTTAAAGAGTCAAGATACAATGCTATTGAAGTAGCCTGGTTTGGTCAAAAATAGCCTAATTTGATTGTACTTTAAAAATATTTTATATTTGTCAATAATTTTGAAGCATTCAACACTTTTTTACAAAGAAACACTGCTGGGTAGGCTGACAGCCATGGAACATGTGCCCTCTGCTGGCCAATGCTGGGAACGACAGCCTCTTTCTGAACAGCTCCGTTGTACAATAGTTTGGTGCTGGCACTGGTGGCCAATCTTTATAGAGCATAAAAAACAGTGCCTCTTTCTTGTGCAGGCTGATGCTCTCCAGATGTTTTAGACAACAGCCATCAGTATTTTTTATCATTATCCATGCTGGCTCAGGCTGGTAAGAGTTGAAGTTCAAAGCCTTTAGAGAGGGCCATGTTGGGGATGACTGCTTCTTCTGGCTTCAGTTACTATTACAGGCTTTTCCGGGGTGTGTATGTGTTTTTCTTTGCATTCAAGATCATTGTTAGAAATCACCGGTGATTTTTGTCTTCCATCAAATGCTCCGGCTGTTTCGCTCAGTGGCAGGAATCATTTTAGTTACCTTTCCCACTACAGTGCAAGGTCTCTGAGTTCTGGTTTGAACTCAAAATATTATGCTCCTCAAGGTAAAGCAGCAAAAGATTTTTTTTAAAAAGGTGCTTAACAGCCAAACCAGCCAAAGTATTCTCTTATTTTCAGCATAAAATTCCATAAGCACCCCTCACCACCCCAGTAGCTTAACAACAACAATAATAATTTTTAAAAAATAGTGGTAATAAATTGTACCCTTTGCACACCAAAGCTCCTTTGCACACCAAAGCTCCTTCATGGATTGCTGCCTTGTCGTGGCGAAGGGGCGTGGTAATAAATTGTACCCTTTGCACACCAGAGTTTTTTGAAGAACTTTGGAGCATTTCTTAAAATGGTATTACTGGAAGTATCCAGTGCGGTGGCCAGATGAGCACCAGGGGGGCTAATACATCTGCTCACTTTGTCATGCAAAATCATTATCCTTTACGGTAGTGGTTCCCAACCTTGAATCTCCATATGTCCTTGGACTAAAATTCCCAGAAGCCTTCACCACTAGCTGTGCTGGCTAGGATATCCGGGAGTTGTAGTCCAAGAACATCTGGGGACCCAAGGTTGGGAAGCACTGCCTTAGAGAATGTTGGTTGGAATCTTATTATTTATTACATTTATATGTCATCCCAAGTCAGCTACGGAACTGGTTGGGAACCACAGCCTTAAGATGCTGTCTAGAAATCTGATGGATAGATTAGGGAAGAACCCATGCCAAGAGGATTGTTTTATGTCTATAGATCCTGTACAGTGGGGTCTTGACTTGAGAACTTAATCCGTATTGGAAGGCGGTTCTCAAGTCAAAAAGTTCTCAAGTCAAATCTGCATTTCCCATAGGAATGCATTGAAAACCATTTGATCCGTATCTGCTCTTTTCCGTCCATAGAAACTAATGGGAAGCTGCTATTCTGCCTTCGACAGCTAGAGGGGGATATTTTGTTTCTTTTTTTCTTAGGTCAAGAAAGGTTCAGGGAAGGCAGGGAAAATACAGTCCAGGCAGTACCAGGCAGTCCGAAGACTGTCTCCCAATCCACTCTCTAAACGCTGGGAGGCGTGAGGAAGCAGACAGGCACCCTTTTCACTGGCCAACAGTTAACTGAAAGTTTAAAATTTGCACTTTCCCTGCCTCCCACGTGGTTTTTTTTAGTTCTTAACTCAAATCTAAGTACTTAAGTCAAGTCAATATTTTCCTATGAGAACGGTTCTTAAGTCAAAATGTTCTTAACTCGAGCCGTTCTTAAGTCAAGACCCCACTGTATTTTGAAAGTGGCAGTACAATGGTTATCTCTTAAAGAACAACAAGAAAGCATTCAATGCATGCCATGCACTGCTGTCCAGAGTTACCAATGTAGATTTTCCTACTTTAGAGAAACATAATGGAAACTTGATAGTTAATCCTAGAGATGGGGATGAACCACCGAAATGGTGGTATGTCTTGGTTTGTGGGTCGCCAACATTGTGGCGACTCGTGAACCACAAATTTGCCCCTGGTGACATGATGAAGCACAAATCGATTTGTTGGTCCATTGGGTCTTTTTAAACGGCCCCACAGTGTGGCTCCTCCCCTTCCCACTGCTGTGTTGCTTCCCAATCCTTACCTTATTGTGCTGCCTCCTTCTGCTTCGCCACCGCTGCAGTTTACATTGGAATGGAACCTAGGCTGCCGGAACGATGGTTTCTGTCCCAGCAGTCTAGCTTCCGTTCCATTGCAAATGTGGGGCAGGAGGGGCTTCCCTTCAGTCAGGCTTCCTCTTTCTGCCTTTGCCCATGCTGGAATAAGCAGCCAATGGAAGCTTGACTGAAGGGAATCCCGCCCCCCGCCCCCCGCTGCAGCCACTGTTTGCAAAGAGAGAGCAGGGCCAATTCCCTTTGGTCTGGCTTCCTCTCTCAGCCCAGGCTTGCAAGGATCAGCTGATCCACGGAGGCATAGGCAGAGAGACGAATGGACGGATATAAAGGATGTATATTCGTCCCTTTGTATTCATGGGGGATCTCCAGATCTCATGAATAGGAAGGGACGAATATCCGACAAATCATTGAATATATTGCTTTATATCCATCCCCATGTCTAGTGAATAACCTTTCTGTCTGGTGGTGTTCTAAATTAGAGAAACAGCACCCTCTGGTGATATGTGGGGATTGAAGATTAAACATATTTTGAAAGGCAACAGAGATGCCTTGTGGTAAGTGAGAGACATCCTTTGTTCCAGCTTTACTACCACCCATGCTTCCCGGAGGAGGTAAAGGTTAGGTGTTATAGGTTTGTACTATGTTTGCACAGAGAAGGGGATCCTTATGTGTTCCAGCTTTACTACCACCCATGCTTCCTGGAGGAAGGTTAGGTGTTATAGGTTTGTACTGTGTTTGCGCAGAGACAGGGATCCTTATTGCCCATCTGGCTGTGAACCTCAGCTGAATCTGGGCAATGAAAAATGGTTTCACTTCCATGAACTGTGGCATATGGTTTGCTGATTTCTGTGACTGTTTTTTCCCCCCTCCTAGGCTGGCAGTGATGGAGCCAAAATTGGGAACTGCCCTTTTTCCCAGCGTCTCTTCATGGTCCTTTGGCTCAAAGGAGTGACCTTCAATGTAACCACAGTGGACACCAAAAGGTGGGTGAAATACGCCTCTTGGCGTCTCGGTGTCCTTCCCTTTGTCTGCTGTCTAACCCACCAGCCTTTTTGCCCAACCTAGCGTTAACCATGTCTTCTACTTGAAGCCCAGAGATCCCTCCATGATTGGCAACTATTGTGTCTCCCTGTGTTTTTTTCTTCCTTGTAGGCGGACTGAGACAGTACAAAAACTATGTCCCGGAGGCCAGCTGCCGTTCCTGATGTATGGCACCGAGGTCCACACAGACACCAACAAAATTGAGGAATTTCTGGAAGAAGTTCTGTGCCCTCCCAAGTATGAAGAAAATGAAGCTCTGGGCAGATTGGGAAAAGGCTTTTTCCTGTAGAAGGAGTTGTGGGTTTTGGGGTTGGGGGGCAGCATATGGCTCCCAAGCATGCCCCACTGTATGGCTGATTTCTGCCATCTCTTGCATAGGTACCCCAAGCTGGCTGCCCGTAACCCTGAGTCCAACACCGCTGGCCTTGATGTCTTTGCCAAGTTCTCTGCCTACATCAAGAACTCGAACCCAGCACTCAATGCCAGTAAGTACCTCCACCCCTCAATTCTCATTGACTTCCTTCTGTGAGTGCTTTACACTTCATTATTCAACGTTGACTTTCTCATTCACATTGGCGATTCCTTCTTGTTGCCTCTTAAGTAACTTGATTTCCTTTGTTCTTCCTGTGTGGTCGGTTCTGCCCTTCATCTCATTCCTCAATGCTTATTCATTTCATTGGCTACTCTTTGGTTCTTCTTTCGTCCTGCCTTTCTTCAATGCAGCAGGGTCTCCATGGGATGCCCGTTGTCCTATGTAGGCTGACAGCAATCTCAGTTCTCTGCCTCTCAATCCTTTTGGGGCCAAAGGGGTCCAGTCCACCTAGGAGGAGGGTAGGTGTCAAGAGTGCTGGGGGGAGGGACCTTGGCATTGCTGAAAATGCCCTCTCCAAAAGACTTAAGGAAAAACTGGAAGGCGACTTCTTAAATGCCTCGCATTTGGCCACATAATCGGGAGAACTTTGTGAGAAGGAGATAAAGGAATGAAGGTTGGAGAGGGAATAAAACGGAACCTGGACAGTCCAGTGGTTTAGATCAGTGGTTCTTAACCTTGGGTTACTCAGGTGTTTTTGAACTGCAATTCCCAGAAACCCCAGCCAGCACAGCTGGTGGTGAAGGCTTCTGGGAGTTGCAGTCCAAAAACACCAGAATAACCCAAGGTTAAGAACCACTGGTTTAGATATCTGGCTCCAGAGATTTGGAGTTCAGTTCCGCACTGCATCTCTTTGCCAGAGGCTGGACTCAATGATCCAGGGGGTCTTTTCCAGCTCTGCACTTCTGAGATGATTTATTCGGAATATTTTCCAAAGAAGAATAGATGATCCCCACTGGAACAGAGCAAGCATTTTTAAATTGAGCTCCGTATGAAACAGAGGCACCATATATGATTCCCCGCCCCCCACATGGCCAAACCCTGAACAAAGAGCCACTCTGTGTCGGCACCTTTTGTTGCAAGTTCCAGTTCTGTCTTCTAACTGCCCATCTTTTTTTTTCCCATGTGGGTGTTGATCTTATACTTTATTCATTCTTTTTTTTTTGCTTCAATTCTTCATGAGATCTCAGACTGTTTATTTCTTTGTTCTTCCAGGCTGTCTCTTTCTTCCCATGCCATAGCTAAGTTTTTGCTTACTTGTAACGCTCCCCGGAACCCTTCCCCACCCACTTAACTGTTCTGATTTCTCATCATCTATCGAGGCCCCCATTTCCAGCTGCCCGAAGCATTCATGTCAGTGGGAATTGATTTCCCTTTATGCTCTCTGCTTCTCCTCTCCTCCTCAACTTCCTTAACTTAGTTACCTTCCAGGTGTTTAGTGTTACCCCCTTTGGGTTTCCAACCGCTGTGTGTATCCTCATCCCCTCACCCTGCCATAACTCCTCCTCGTTTCCTAGACCTTGAGAAAGGTTTGCTGAAAGCGTTGAAGGTGCTGGACGTGTATTTGATGACACCACTACCTGACGAGGTGGACGAAAACAGCGCTGAAGATGAGGGCCAGTCCAACCGCAAATTCCTGGATGGGGATAAACTCACGCTGGCGGACTGCAACCTGCTGCCGAAGCTGCATATTGTTAAGGTGAGCCCCTCTCTTCCCATACAAGGCCTGGGCCTCTGCACAGAGCTTAGGACATTTCTCTAGAAATAATTTGTTCCTGTTGCTCACTACAGTGTTTCTGAAAAATAATTGCTTGTGACACATTAAAGTATTGGAAATGTAATTTGGTGTTCTCCTGTTACTTTTTAATTCCTTTTTGTCAATTTTAGAAAACAGTCATCTTAAGAATTTATCAGAGTGACATAAACCTGGAAAAGGTCCGCCAGAATGTCTCTGAAATAGCTTAAGATGCTGCCAGAAAGCAACTTCTTAAAGTGACTAGAAATCTGTAGGAAACTTCTGCTTAAAGGTTGTAGCTGCATTCTGTTCCAGTGACATGCATACACTCCTGGCAGGAAGTGGCAGCTGCCAGCAGGCAGGGTAAACCATTATTCTGCCCTTTCGCTTGGAGGTAGAGCAGAAGATCAAAGAGTTATTTCATCCAATCCTAGTTGCGATTAGGTAACTAATATCCTATCTGAATTCTCACAACATACTATGAAACTCATGCTAAGTCAATAAAAAGAGTTCTCAGGGCGTTGCCTGTAGGCTCCGCTGGCTCGGACATCCACTCTGTTGATTCCTTTGTTCTAAGGCAATTAGCCTTCCTTTGTTCCATGATCACCCACAGAAATTGTGAATTATTATGCCAGTGAAGTGACTCCATTCACACTCAATTACCTTTGAAATGTAACCTGGCTAGACACTTACTGCCAAAAATGTATAACTTGTTATAAAAAAACTGGATTGTGTATAACTTGTTTTTGCAAAAGTTTTGTTAATGTGAGATATCAATGGGTGAGTTTTTGAATGGCCTGTCTTTAAGCATGAATCACTTCTCAGAGAGAGATAACGACACTAGTGGCAATGTAGAGATGACATTCCCAAAGTAATTTAAGATAAGGTTGATTGTGATTAGAAAGGCATATGAACCACCGATTTGGTAATTCGTCCTGGTTTATTTAGTGGCCAAATCGGTATTTGGTGCTTCAAAGCCCTCCCTCCTCTGGCGGGCATCCACTCAGAATCTGGCTGCCTAGTTAAAATAGTTTCCACTCAAAATTTCAGAATTGTTGCCTCCTTTAGATCAAATGCATGCATTGTCTTCCATGTCTTTTCAACACATACCTGGTTGGTTTTAAATAAGGGGCCAATGTGGCTGCTTAATTTCTAACCCAAACTGTGCTGATCTTGAAGGTCTCAGGATTGAGAATTTCCTAGCCCCAGTTCCAAAGGTGTGATTGTTAGCTATGGGAAAAAGGAACTAGGACTTTTAAAAAACTGTCTCTTTGCATGCTCAGAGGTCCTTTCTTAACTATAGCCATTAAAATATTCCAGAGCTGAATTAAAGCATGGAAATGCATTCAGAGTTTAAATCTTGGCAAGCCTTGGCTTGGGGGATGGTGTATTTTTTTAAAAAAATGGTGCGGGAATCATATACTGTAGGTAGGGTAGAGAAAACTAAATGCAAAGTACAGTACGAGGGAGTGCAAGAGAGAAAACTCAAGCGTGAAGCTGTAATTGTGTTAATACTGGTTGTTGTGGGTTTTTCGGGCTCTTTGGCCGTGTTCTGAAGGTTGTTCTTCCTAACGTTTCGCCGGTCTCTGTGAGGAGAGGCCACTCCCAAGCAAACTTCACCAGAGCACAGAGTGCTGTCCTCTGAAGATGCCACTCACAGAGACTGGCGAAACGTTAGGAAGAACAGCCTTCAGAATACAGCCAAAGAACCCGAAAAACCCACAACAACCATTAGATCCCAGCCATGAAAGCCTTCACGTATCCATTGTGTTAATACTCCTTGAAAAGATATGATTGTTTATGCAAACTTTCCATGAGAAACCAGGAAAATGGCCTCAGCTGATGTCAGCTGTTTGCATTTGCTACTTGCCTTTATTGCCTATGAACTATGTTTTGTCTACTTTGCACTTTTTAAAATAAATCGTGCGCTTCTTCACTTCTGCATATTTTATCTTAGAGAGAGAGAGAAGCAAAGTGCGCTGCTTATATACCGCCCCATAGCACTTAAAGCACTCCCTGGGTGGTTTACAATTCAATTATCCAGGCTGCACATTATTGCCCAATCTACTCTTGTTATAGTTTGTCATATCCAGGTGAGAAAAGTTATACAGTTCCAGCATAAAATGCTGGAAATCCTATCCAATGCTCATTGGTGTAAGATTCCAGCAGGTGTAAGGGCAGACTTTTCAAGCCTCTTTTAGTGCTCATAAGGACTAGAGACATGCTTTTATGCAAATAATAATACTCTTAGAACTGCAGAAGGGGACCCTGTGGATTATCGAGTCCAGCCCCTGCCAAGGAGGCATAGTAGGGAATCGAACTCTTTACCTCTCTGATTTTGTAGCCGGAGCCCTTAACCACTGAGCTATCCAGTAGTAAAGCAGAAACTGAGGTTCTAATTTTGTGTTTAGTAGCTTATCCTACCCACCCTGGCATCTCTGAGCACATGTAGAGCCACTTGATTTATAAGGATCCTGGTTTTGTTTTTTCACATTCCCTAACAGGTGGTATGCAAGAAATACCGTGACTTTAGCATCCCGGAGGAATTCCGTGGCATCCACCGCTATCTCAAGAACGCTTACGCCCGCGAGGAGTTTGCCAGTACTTGCCCAGACGATGACGAGATTGAATTAGCTTATGAGCTGGTGGCCAAAGCTTTGAAATAAACTTCTGAGAAGAGTACGAAAGGGACGTGGGGCTTCCGTGGCGGGTTGTTTGGATTGGGCCCGTCGTCGGAAGGTGGTTTTTTTTTTTAAAAAAAAGCTTATGTACTTGTGTTTGGCAGCAGTGGGCGGGGGAGGGAGGGGGGATGTCTATTTTCCGGGAAGGTGGGGGGCGGCACACGAAATGATTTGCATTTAAATATGAATAAAAATAAAGTAACCTGTTTTTAAAAATACCACACCCGAATGTTTTATCTGCCTCTGAACAAATTGTGGCGAAGCTATTGGAAGCCATGGGTGAAGTGTGTGCAAGTTCTACTGACACGCTAAATTGGGGGGGGTGAGCAGATGTGAACTTTGGGATGTTTTTTGGCTCCCCAATTCCCATCCGTCTTTGTCCACATTTTTGCTGGGGAAGGGTTATGGGAGTTGTAGTCCAGAAGCACCTGGAGGAAAACAGTTTCCCGTCCCTTTCCGTGGCCATGTCAAGGTTATGAAGCCCTGTCAATTTGTCATTTTGTGATGTGTATTAACAGATGTATTTGTATATTTATTTAGTGATATTTAGATATCCCTCATCATCTGAGTCACTCTCTTTTGTAGCTTAGTTCATTTGTGCATAAGTCTAGCGCTTATTGTCTCTATAGTTCTGTGGTATTCTGACAAATAGTTTTGCATAAACAGTAAAGAAGGTTGTGTGGTTCATAGCATTTGCTATGATTGGGTGTGGTGAATTGTAAGAGAGGGCTAATTGAACACATTAGTTTTAGATGGGTTCTATTGTTTTGCATCAAAACACACACACTGACATTCACCTTAGTATCTTACACATTTCTTCCTAAAATGAGAAGTTTCCTTTAAAATGCAGTTTTGTACGTGATAATGTATTTGAGAAATGGATTGGGGAAAAATGGGGGAGATACACCATCTCAAAATATTATTCTCTTCCACTGGGTTCTGCTTCTAATATTAATCTAGGACATGTGAATTAAGTCAGCTGGTATAAAAAGGGGGGCTGAAGGAAAATTTCCTACACCCGTACTAAAGACTAGTTAGGCAAATCCTTAATACTTTAGGGATTTTTATGCAATTTTGAGAGACTTCTTTGGTTGGTCTGGCTTCTGGCAGAACTCTGATGGGACAGAGGACTCCTCGGATTTTAGCAGTATCAACATCCCTGTGGTTCATCAGTGTTAGATGACCAGAAGGGCTGATGATGACTCTCTTTTGACCACCTGCCTAGCTTTTACAGCTTAAGAATAGTCATACGTATGTTTCCTAAGTCGGAGAAGATCTAGCATGCTGTCTAACAAAAATACTGCCTTGTGGGGGGAAAAATCAGAGGTAGCACAGCTTGTTATAACGTCTTATGAGGAGATTTGAGAAATAACATGGGAATGTGTCTTGCTAGAGATGAGATTTTGACATTTATTTTGAATGACAACACAGTGAAGTCTGCTGAAATTGGCTCAATTTAGAATTCTGGGGGATTTAGCCCTCCCTACAAAAAAGCCACCCTCTTAAATGTTTGATATAATCTATAGCTGGTGCATAAATGAGGGGAAAAAATCCCTCCATTTCTTTGTTTTCTGAGGAACTGGCTCAATGTGGCTCAGCTCAGTGGCACTGTAAAGCATTAGGTGTCTTGCTAGAGATGAGATTTTGACATTTGTTTTGAATGACAACACACCGAAGTCTGCTGAAATTGGCTCGATTTAGAATTCTGAGGGATTTAGCCCTCCCTACAACAAAGCCACCCTCTTAAATGTTTGATATAATCTATAGCTGGTGCATAAATGAGGGGAAAAATCCCTCCATTTCTTTGTTTTCTGAGGAACTGGCTCAGTGGGGCTCAGCTCAGTGGCACTGCAAAGCATTAGGGGCAGTGAAGTCTCCTTGCCTATTATGCTTTGTACAGGGTCCTCTCACAGGAAACTACAATACCCCTAATGCTTTGCCATGCCCAAGAACTTAGTCCTGCCCAGCCATTTCCTCTACCTCAAAACAAAAAAAATTGAGGGATTTTTCTCTCTCCTTCACTGTATACACCAGCTGTAAATTATGTCAGATTACCTCAGAGGGCTGGGGGCAGGGGGCAAAGCTCCCAGAATTCATCCTGGGGGAATTCCAACATACTTCTGAGTGTTGTCATTTAAAAGAAATATGAAAATCCCATCCGTATTCATTCCTAAAGGGCAATCTTTCGGTTATTCGCTTGAAACAATCCTTCACTCCCTATTCCCACTCCGATGGTATATATGTTAATCCAATTATGTAATGGCATGCTCCTTTGAAGATAGCATTAGAGGGTGTTGACTAGAAATCATTCAATATGCTTGGATTCGATTCCCCTTTGTAAATAAGGGTATGGTATACCCGAAGCATTCTTAACAAACATTTCTTCCCTTCAACGAATATTTTGAGATCCGTTTCCCATTCCCAAGGTTTCCTTTGATTCATTATTGAGTGGTTGGGAGTCATCAGGCCCATGGCCAAAATTTAGCGGGAGAAAAATTATTGGCGTAGTGACAGCTTTCCGGTAGTTTTTCCTCTCCTGCCAGTACGATCAGCCACACAACCAACTATGATTTGTAGGCAGCGGGAGATCGGATTCGAAAAAGATGAGCTTGGGGAGATTCTTGCAGAATCACCATGACAGGATGCTTAAGCAACCAGGATTCTGGTTGCTCTCCCTGCACCGGATTCCATAGTTCGAGTCATCTTTGTGATCATTATTACAACTGCTGGTGTTATTGATATTGTTTTTCCACCAGATCATATCATGTTTTACAGAAGTGCCTAAGTAAATACCAAAGCTGAATATGAGCTGACAGTGCAATGTGCTGTAAAAAGGCCTAAGCTATTTTAGGATGCATTAATAGAAGTATAGGCTCCAAATCCCGTGAGGTACTAGGTTCCCCTCTGTTCAGCACTGGTTAGGCCTCATCTAGAGTTCTGGACACCACACATTTATGAAAGATGCCAACAAACAAGCAAGTTCCGAAGAAGTCAACAAGGCTGGTCGAAGCCCTGTGAGGAAAGACTGAAAGAACTGGGCATGTTTAGCCTTGAGAAAAGAAGAGGGAGGGGTGATATTATAGCAGTTCTCAAATACAGTAGTGCCTTGCTTAACGAGCGCACCGTTTAATGACGAATCCGCATAGTGACACATTTTTTGCGATCGCATTGCAATGTTTTACCGATCATCGCAATGCGCTGTTTTGGGAACAGCTGATCGGTGGTTCCAAAATGGCCGCTCGGTCAACCAAATGGCCGCTCTCAGCGTTTTCGCGCCCTGCCCTCACTGGGCGGCGAAAATGGCGGCCGGATGGAGGATTCCCCGCATAGCGGTGAGTTTTTCCCCAATAGGAACACATTAAACGGAGTTTAATGCGTTCCTATGGGGTTCCCCCCCTGCATAGCGACAAATCCGGAAAGTGACGGTAATCCTGGAACGGATTAACGTCGCTATGCGGGGCACCACTGTACTTGAAAAGGTAATCATTACAGAGGAGGGACAAGATCTCAATCATCCCAGTTGGTAGGACACATAATAATGGGCTCAAGTTACAGGAAACCAGATTTAGGCTAAATACTGTATCTGGAAAAACATCTTAACTGTTAGAGCAACACGACAATGGAACCAATGACCTCAGGAGGTGGTGAGTGCTTAAATGCTAGAGGCATTCAAGAGAAAACTGGACACCCCTCTGTCAGATCTGCATTAATGCTAGAGGCATTCAAGAGAAAACTGGAAACCCCTCTGTCAGATCTGCATCGATCTGAATTGCTGCTTGAGCAAGGGAGTTGGACTCAATGGCCTTATGGACTCAACTCCATAATTCTATGATTCTATGAAACAAATGAAAAAGGGACCCCTACCCCAATCCACATATTAGGAGCAAAAGAAGAGAAATGTATTGGGAGAAGCAAATAAACAAACAGTTAAGCAGTAATAGCAGGCAAGTGATACTGATTGAAATTGTTATTTCTTAGCTGAAAAATATAAGGAAGAAGAAATAAAACAGGACATAAATGAAACAAGAGACTTCCCACCTAGCACACTGCATCTTACAGACCTGTGGGGGGAGTACAAAGAAAGCAATAGTGGGTGGTGGATGCCTCCACATCATCACCTCAGAGAATATTTCTTAGCTGAAAAATATAAGGAAGAAGAAATAAAACAGGACATAAATGAAACAAGAGACTTCCCACCTAGCACACTGCATCTTACAGACCTGTGGGGGAGTACCAAGAAAGCAATAGTGGTGGATGGCTCCACATCATCACGAGCCCTCAGAGAAGGAGCAGCTTCTTTCTCACTGGAAGAGGACCAGAACGATTGACAGGGCACTGAGCATCAGCGTCCCCCAGAAAGCGTAGGAGACAGTTCCAGCAGACCTGTTGCACAGGTCGGTAGAGCAGCAGGAGGTGTAGTAGGTGAAATTGGTTCCCAACATGGACCGGCTGCCATGAAGGTCGCACATGGATGGATGTCCGCAGCTCATCTCGTGGATGACCACCGCAAAGGCACCTGATCAGGGGAAGGAAATGGGTAAACAGAAGATCAGTGTAAACCTGATGGGTCGATTTAACAAACAACAACAGCTGATTGGAATTTTGTTGCTTGGCACAGTAAGTTGCAGCTGGGGTTGGCCCATTGAATCAGTGGAATTTACAGTGGAGTTGACTCACCAATTCCCTGCTGATTCAATGGGCCTACTCTAGTTCTGACTTATGACACTAGGCAACCTATAAAATCCCCTTCACGAATTGCTGCCTTGTTGTGCTGAAGGGGCTTGAGTAATTCAGAGAAGCTATGGGCTATGCCGTGCCGGGATACCCAAGATGGACAGGTCATAGTGGAGAGTTCTGACTAAATGTGATCCACCTGGAGCAGGAATTGGCACTGCCACTCCAGTATCTTTGCCAAGAAAACCCCATGATCAGAAACAAAAGGCTAAAAGATATGACGCTGGAAGATGGGCCCCTCAGGTCGGAAGGCGTCCAACATGCTACTGAGGAAGAGTGGAGGACAAGTACAAGTAACTCCAGAGCTAATGAAGTGGTTGGGCCAAAGC